CCTCCATCCATCTGTCAGTCAGCCAGTGCGCCCCAATGATTCTGTTGTCACCCTGGCATCCTGGCTCTGCCCATTAGCTTGCTAGTTGGACTGGCATTTAGACTGGCAGGACACACATACGCAGTAGCCAAAGGGTCTCCTGCTTGGCTAGCACCAAACTGATGTAAAACAGTAGACAAACCCACAGGAGCACACGGCAACATGCAGCAGCTGCCTTCTCCAATCACGTCACTCTGGCCTAATTTGATTCCATCTCGACAGGATTCAATTACATTTTATTAATTTTGGCACAGTGTAACTCCACAGAGTTTGATTCAATCTCTGGCAATGCAATTTAACTAGATGCAATCAGATTCACTTGAATTGAATGAATTTTTAAACATAATCTCTTCCGCCGTTCCTGCCTCTGTATAAATCTTCTCACTGCTCACTCCATCCTTCCCAATTTTCCCTTTCTGGGATTCAGAATATAGAATATAATGAGCGGCGCCAAAGTCTTCCAACAAGAGGACCCCGACTGCTTAGTGTATCTACATTTTCTTGGCTTCTGGTTGGGAGAGACTCCCCGAGGAGAACATTAGTCACTTCCATGATGATAATGGGTAATTTGAGTGAAAATAGACTGAGGTTGGCAAAGGGGCATTATTGAACATGTTGCTGTTTTCTCTCCGAGCATAGCAAATAACTGAAGGTTTTTCAAAACCAAAAGCCAAATTTCACCTACTGCAGCTTGTTGTTGGAGTGTCATCTCTCTTCTCGGCACCTCTGATATCACCTGAGTTACTTAAAAGCCCAAAATGTGTCATCACCAGACAATACGTCTACAAATAAGTATGAATATATTTTCCGCACAGTTCTTTTAATCCCTGATACTAATCCTGTTAGCTGTGAGCTGATGACTGTACAGCTTGTACACAGAGGTTCCCAAAGCTTCTCTTGAGCAAGGCAGTGCATTCCTGTCAAGGCAATCCACTAAAGCTGACCTCTAAATTTCCCAGTGAAGTAGTTATGCACATGGACGGATTACGAGATAATGGGTCCACTGGGCACAGACATGTTAAAGCGTAGTCTTTTTGTGTCTCTTTGTAGTCTTTTTTTGTCTCTTAGTGGTTGTTTCGGATCTCTTTGTGGTCTTTTTGTGTCTTTTTGGTCATTTCAAGTCTCGTAATGATCATTTTGGGGTTGTTTTGCATCTCTATGTAACTCTTTTTGTGGTCATTTTTTATCCCTATGTGGTCGTTTAGAGTCTCTTTATGGTTGTTTCGAGTTTCTTTGTGGTTCTTGTGGTCGTTTTTTTCTCTTATTCTATATTCTGTATCTTGTTGTAGTCATGTTGCATCTCTGTGGTTATTTTTCAGTCTCCTTATGGTCATTTTGTGTCTCTTTGCAGCGATATTGACAAGAACAGTAATTTCAAACAACGGCTCTTCTGGGTAGGCCCATTCAATCTATGAGTACGTATAGATGATTAGCTAATTTAAGTGAAATATACATACATTTCTTGGAACTGCTGAAACAAGGCATTTGGACAAACGTTTTAGTCCCACAGCCTCTGTTATTACACTTTAATAATTGAATAGTTCTACAGTCTTTGAGTTTGGAAATAGACTGGAACATATGCAGGTAGGAGGAAAAATATGGCAATGTCATATGTCAGAACGACTGCTCATTTCCTTCCAGTCTTATTTCTGCCATTTCATTCTCCACAAACTGACAACAACCCTGCAGCACAGATGCTTGGCAGTGCTTTTCGCACATATCCAGGTGTTGAGAATATAACACTCTCCTCTCCTGTCTTACATGTGGCGTACAAATTCAATGTTGAGGCCCGAAGTTGGCGGATTGAGTGCTAAAGGGCACACATGAGAAATCAAAAGCTTGCGGGCAAATAAATAGCATATCCATAACACCGAGATTGCCCTTTGTACAATCCAGAGGCCTGCTGACTCTAGTCGTTCCTTAAATTGATTTCTCATATGCGGTTGCCTTGAGGGGACGATTCCATTTTCATATATACACTGGCTCTCTATATGTATGCTCTCCGTCCTAGTCTATTAATCTCATAATGCAATCAATTTCACCTTGCAGTACCACGACACAGGCCATTTCTTTTGTGAACAGCTTTGCATGTCTTTAATAGGAGTTTGTGACTGGTGTTGCATGGTGTTAAGAATTGTGTGCCGCATTGTTCCAGTATCAAGTTCTCAGCATGGCAGGAAGTATAAGAGATATAGGAAAACAGAAACTTTGGGGGTATAGATTTTGCTTCCTGCAACACTAGTGGTGTGAATTTCTGAAAGAATCTGTACAACCCTCATAAATATAAACCTGGTGATTCATGTTTATAGTTTGAGGCTGAGTACAGTGTGCATGCCCCTGCATTTATAATCGCTTATGTGAACATGTGCATAAACCAGAAGTACAGGATGTAATCAAACCTCAAACACAAGCCTAAGCCCGGGCTCAGGGTGCAATGAGAGACACTTAAGCGCGGGGGCATAAATCTTTTAAACCCTGAGCCACTGACATTTCCCCCCAGAGATACAGCGAAATATCTTAATTACGCCACTTAACATCACATCGGCGACTCCTGGGTGAGCCCAAGCAAGCATATAATTCATTGTACTGAGCATCGGTAAAAGCCAAATACATAAACCTTCAAGGATGCATACTCAAGTGCATCGTAGACTGTGAGCTGGGACTTCAAAAGCAAATGTTTTCCTTCAGGAGCCGGAGGGGGGTAGAACAGAGGATAACTGTAGAGTTAGTATGACAGGAAGCAGGGCACCTAAAGCTGTCATCATGACGTGGTGTATTCATGGATTGGTCTTTCTGGTTTTAGTCCCTTCCCCTAGTTTTATGCTCCCAAGGCCCCCTACATTGATAGAAGACACTAAGAGCTGAGCATCCTACACAGGCTCCAGGACATGGCCCTTAAACTCAGAAACAGCCTTTATTATTACATAACAGCAGGTTGTCCATAGTCTAATGGGTCCATTGGTGTGGACTTTGCTATCATGAAAAGCATGAGAAGAATGGAAATTGGTTCGTAGCGTGATGTAATACTACTGCAACAAAGGGAAAGAAACAAAGAAATTAATATTCCAGTTAAGGCCTGTGAACAATATGGCCTATCATATCTCTTTACATGTAATAACTAATTAAAATACAGTTCACTGATGTTCTTCCTCTCTATCATAACAGCAGATTCTACTGAAATGATATATGAACTGCTAATAAACAACAATCCTTTTAAAATGTGGCCCCGAGGCATCTCACTCTTATATTCCTGAAACCTTTACATTGAGGGTCTGCTGCTGTTTTCATGCCACAAATCACCAAAACAAAACCCAAATTAGACCATGTGGATTCCCATTGGATGCAGTTCTGCCCCAGAAATCTCGACATGACAGTGCAGCTAGTGGTTCATCATCTAAATTATATGCACATCTCCTCGGGACAAGTGTTAGAATTATACATAAGCAGTGTCAGAGGGGCCTGTTATTAAAATTCATCGTCATTTTTTACACCTCCTCAAACTGGTGGTTATGTGCAGCATACTGAAGTAGTAGTAAAAAAAATAGATCTATAAATCTCCATTTTTGCTTGGGGATCCCTTTTTAAAAACCTCCTTAAGGACCCACTTTAAGACCCACTACCCCTGACGGACTACAGCAAAGCAGGGTGAATGAATGAGGTGCAACAAGCTGTAACGACCGGTGGCTTATGGCTTCCCTCTTGGCTCCACTTTGCAGCGCTCTACCCCCACCTGCCGTTGTGCGCCAGGAAGCCAGTGTGACCACACTGCAAAAAATATCCATCTAACAACTCTTTTTTTTTAGTTTGTAAGTCTTCAGAGCTTCTGTTTGTTTCTAACAAGAGGAAGTGTCTCGCCCGAGGGACAAGATAACCCGTGTCATCCTCGATGCAAATGGGGTTTTTTTTTAAAATACAGAAGCCGGCCTTAAATACATGTAAATTGGCACTGAAAGAGATACAATAAATTATAAAATCTATAAAAGCTAAAGGAGTTGGCTATTTTTTTTTTTCGCAGTGCACGCGGGGCTCAGCCAGCAGTGGCACGGCGCGCGCCTCACTGACCAGGACACAGTTAAGAAACACACAGGAGAAGAAAAAAGGGCCAAAGGCGACCGCGTGAGCGATCTCAACTGTGTTATCTAGCGGCGGTCACTCAAGGAACATCTTTATGTCACCTCCGCGCGTGCAACCCACACGCATGGGCGCGCGCGCACACAGACAATCAACGCCAAATCAGGTGCGCCACGCACGCGAGAGCCAATTAACGGCGAACCGGGGGGATCGTATTTGCCCAAACTTTCAGACTGTATGACCGCATCACGGTCCCGATATCAGCACGCACGCCCTGCGCACGAGATGCAGACACTGAGGGAAGATGTCACCGTGAAATCTTCCATCTACAGTGTGTTTCTGCGGGACTGGAGAGTGGGGGGGGGGAGAAAGGCGGTGGTCCAAACAATTCACAATAATGCAATTCAAATTCATGTCTCCATGTAAGATGTCAGTTTAAGTTTGTTTTTCTTTTACGATCAAAACCAGCTCTTTGTAAATAACACCCATACACCACCCCGGGGGCTGCTCTTAAAGATTAAAAAACTCATCAACAAGGACGAGCCATGTTATATGACGAAGATAACAGTCTTCGTCCGGGGAGCATAGAGTGTATCTCAACAGCTCACCCACCCTCAAAAAAAAAAAAAAAAAAAAAAAAAAAGGACCCCTATCATAATCCTCCTTTTCAGTAAGAAAGCATTCTGGCCCCTGCAAGACGTGCCTCAACTACAAAACAACGTCCAGTTAAACAATCCACCCCTCTCTCTCTCTCTCTCTCTCTCTCTCTCTCTCCTCCAGCTCTCTCCCTTGCCTGCTGCTGCAGATCACGATGGTTGAAATACACTCAACTTGTCCACAAAGTCACCAAGCTCGAGGAGTTTTCACGCGCTCAACGCACGCGTGCTTACCTTGGCTGCCGCAGACGAGCACCCCGAGGAGATGGACCAGTTTGAGCATCATTTTGGGGCAGGTTTCGCGCCGCCGGACGCTGCTTTCGGCTGCTGTAATAAACGACCAAGGGCGACACACACGCTCGGCTCCGTTCATCCACCGTCTTGGGCTCCGCTGGCGACTGATCTGCCTCAGCTCCTTCCTTCCCTTCCTTCCTATACGCGCGCTCCCGCTCGCCGCTCGTTCACCGCGCTGGCTCTGCGCTGAGGACCCCCCCAGCATCACTTCTCTCCAGCCTCACTGCTGGAAGCTGTTGATGAGAAGCAGACACGAATTAGAAGAAGGAAACAAAATGAAAGCAAACATGTTTATGTTTTGCAAGTGGCTTTATGGGTTATTTAAAACATGGTGTAAAGTTTAAAGGGGGGAAATGTCTAGAAGTACAGTGGGCTATTAGCAGGGGTGTAGCTAGGAATTCTGGGGACCGATTTAATATTTTTGGGGTCCCTTCCAACTGCGAGCCCCTTGAATCCACCACCTAGGAATCACAGTGCATATTTATCTCAGAAGTCTAAGCGAACATGCAAAGTAAGAAAAATGTTGCCCCATGTGAACAACAGAGCTCACGCCAAGAACATTTTCGCAACTTCTCGTACTTTTTTTTTTGTTTATGTTGTTGATAAGTATGGTCCAAGTCAGATTCACTAAACTATTTTAACTGCACAAACTTGTCATAAATCACTGATGAATAAGCATGTTTGTTAGCATCGCCCCTAAAATTGCCCTACAAGGCTACTTGTTCAGCTCCAGGTGTGCAAGCTTCATTCGCAAATGTAAACCAAAGACCAAGACTTTTGGTCACAAGGTGACATTGACTCGTTGTTTACATTGTACACCATTTAGTTCAATACATAGTCACTGAAGAAGGAAATGGTCAGTTACTACAGCATCCTTTCCAAATTGTGACACATTAAAGAGTTAAAATTCAGAAATAAGACTCCAAATGAAAGCTAATGTTGTTCCTTGTTTGCTGGATGAGTAAATAAGTGACTGCTTGCAAACACATTACCATATAAACTTTGTGTGATAATCAGGGTTGTGTTTACAACTTGTTTTGCTGCCCTCTAGTGGCCAACCAAAATGCAGGTTTAAACATTAGAGCACATTTTACATATTTTAGATTTGTAGAATTCTTAAAATGTAGTTCCAAGCTACATCGTCTTAAAGGTCCAGTGTGTAACATTTAGGAGGATCTGTGGGCAAAAATTGAATCAAATATTCATAGGTATGTTTTTAATTTGTGTATAATCACCTGAAAATGAAAACTTTCATTCCCCTTGAATGATTCATTTTTGGCTTCAGAGGTCTTCTTCCAACGAACAAACCAAACGCTGGCTCTAGATAGGGCCTTTTTTGTGTTTTTTGAGAGTTTTGGAACGGGTGGGTGAGGCGAGGGTGGTGCAACTACACTGCTAGATGCGACTAAATTTTACACACTGGTCCTTTAAAATTCGCCATCTCAGAAGAATCTTGGAAAGATTGCCAGTCCATAATGGAGCTAACGTACAGAAAAACAAACTATAATTCTCAGACATTAATGCTCCAGTTCATATGTCACCATTTTAGCCTTCATTGTCTGTGTGACATTGGATGGAAGCTCCCTGAGAAAATGTTGAACTACACAGATCATGAACAACAAGTAACTAGTTAAGAGAAAGGGAATAATACTTTTTGATATCGATCACAGCATAACGACATCTGACTCTATCTAAAATAATTTATTAACACAACTTAAAATGGTCAATGTTCACTAGTCCTCTCATGAGCCAAACTTGGATTGGTAGAGGCAGTGATTATCACCTCACATGGAGTCAAAGTAAGAGCTCTCAGCCTTGCAAGCACCCCTGTTGGGAGCGAATGAAGTGATGAATTAAAACTGACAAAACACTGATCCACCTAGCCAAGGAAAGAGAAATGAAACTGAATATTGATTTCTATGGGGTCCTTAGGTGGGAGTATTATGGCGAGTAATGTCGATGTGTGCTGGGAGTGGATCTATTAAGTTGATCGAGATGGGACAACCCAAACAAACACCTCTTTGTGAGCCAGAAAAATCCCTCCAAATTTAGTCAGAATCACTTGTTGATGTCTGAGCTAACAACACATTTGATTGTTGGGTTGGCTTCAATCCGCAGTGCTCTCTCCAAGTAACATTTCAGGACAGCAGCTCAGTTTTTTGGCCCATGACTCGACCCATATTGCTGTGCTCCTGACGGACATGTGTCAAAAGGGCTCCATGGCTGTAATTCCCCATAGTCGCCCGACAGACTGATGCAATGAAGGTAACAGCGGCAGATAAGGGGAAAGTCACAACCTGCCTAACAGCCATCTAGAGGTGAGTTGTTGGCTCGCAGGATGTTGTTACAGTGCAATTTGTGTCGAGTGGAAACTTGGAAATGGTGTGAAAGTGTAGTGAAAGTATAATTATTTCTCAGTGAGGCCTGTCTGAAAAGTCGCAATGGTAGGATGGATTTAGCTTAAATTACACCATCAATCTCTAATCGATGCAATTACTTACCGTCCATTGTTACTTTTAAATTTAGAATATGGATTTTGTCTTATACGTCTGCGTTATTGCTCTAATGTTCTTCCTGTCTCTCCTGTGCTGAAAGGTAAGGATCATTATAGAAGAATATAAGCTGCAAAGTTTTCTTCTTCAGGACAAGTACAAGTGTGAAATCCACATCTGTTCTCTCTGTGACAACTGGCTCCCCGATGGAATGAGAGCAAATTTATGGTTTTAACTGTTTTAACAGCTTGGCTCCTCGAGTCATCGAAATAGCAACGTTCAAGTTCTTTTCTGCCTGGTAATGTGAAATGTCTACCTGCCCTTTAACAGGATGGCGAAGGTGCAAAAGGACCTTGTAATGCAGAATAATCCAACCAATGTATGAAATACTCTTGACATTAACTATTCGGCATTTATAAAAATTAGATTGTTTAAAGAGAGAAGAAGTCCTGCCTTGTGCATCGTCTCCCGCTTTGGTCCTAAACAGAGCTCTAGATTTGAATTTGTTTGTCTGTTTTTAAATTTTTTGTGCATTCTTAAAGAAAACACTCTTTATGCACCAATTGCATTGCAACCTTCATGGTAAATGGTAAATGGGCTGCACTTACATAGCATTCATGCCATCATAGTGATGGTCAAATGACATTAATGTCAGTCTATAAACACAGACAGAGCATGGCCCCTCGCTACGCTTTCAGCATCGTGAGCGTACATCAGCAAAAAACTATAATTTGCATCATTACATTGCTTTTAAAAGGCACATTTTCCACTTGCTTTAAATGAATAATAATCACTGCTGTCAGGGTATGTTCAACTGTATTTCAAGTTCACAGTCCATTTCACAGCAAACATGTTCCTGTTATGGACCCGAAACTTCACTGTTGCAAAGTGTTGCATAATGCAGCTTCCTTTGTGCTGGAAAAAAAAAAAAGACTAAGTGTTTTGCGCCAGTGGAAGAACTTGTGGCCTGTCTTGAAGTCAGTCTGTCAGTGATCGCTCCGTCATCACCGCTGTCACCCGAGCGAGCCTGTTGCCTTAGCAACCAAGTTAAATGGCTGTATTGAAGAGGGGGCCTCGCACTGGAGTAATATGCACAGATAATTCATTGTTGGGGTCTTTGTAGGGCTTAAAGAAATTAAGACGTCAACACCCTGATGAGCAATGAAGACGCATTATTACTTTAAGTTTACATTTCAAAGCTTTAAAGTTTGACGTCTGATTGTAACGCCTACATCGGGAAAAGAGCTGCAATTTTTCAGGCTACGAAGCCACTGTGGCAAAATGCAATGTCTGATGTCAACGCCGTGTGATCCATAGTCTTCCCTTGATTTCATCACATTAGCTCAGAACAAATGAGCATTGCCTGCGTACTCACAATTCTTGTCAACAGTGGTGTATCTCTACGCTTAGTATGACCTCTGCAGAACATCACAACAAATTCTATCTCCATTAATATCTTCCACAGCTAGTCACAGTTGTGCAAAGGAAGTACATTTACTCAAGCACCACACACGTTATATTTCTACTCTCAAAACACATGACCAGCTTATAAAATATGACATTGCTGCTGTAATGACCACTTTTACATTAGATTTTTACATTAAGCAATACAAATGTGCGTATTTGACAACGGGGGAATGAGACCAATAAACCAATAAACTTTATCCAGAACGACTGACCCCACCTTCAAGTAAAATTTGAAGTTGCTTGTACTTTACTTGAGAATTTCCCTTTGCTTTACTCTTCCACTCCACTACATTTCAGAGAGAATTGTTGCACTTTTTACGCCACTACATTTATCTGAAAACTTCAATCTTCAGATGACAACCATTCTGGTGTAATTAGACTTTAAAAAATACATATGAAGAAAAATGTGACAGGTCTTTTACCAATTAGACTGGTCTTTCCATGGAAGTCAATACATACATATAAGTACAATACATATAAGTCAAAGTCAAAATAAAAAATCTCATATCATGGTATTCTGGGACTCGACACACATGCAGTAGTATTAACTTGTAGTATGGCGGAGGGACGGTGAGGCCCACCACTCTTAGTGTCTGTCTTTCAAAATATATTAACAGTTTTCTCAGCTCTACAAATCTCCCCAAGGAAAAAGGCGTGTTTTTATACATTCCTATTAAAGTGAGGAGTGAGCGTATGTATGTTGCATGTCAAGTCATCAGCTCCCTCGATAATATGCACCACTGTGTATTATAGCGTTGCACAGGAGTAAGCTACACACTTCCATGAAACAAATGGAGTTATGCACATCATTGCCTCAAGTGTTTTTTCTCTCAAGTGTAAAGAAAACATTGTGTATTTGGTGAAATTGAGGCGGTGAAAAACAAGTAAAAAAAATGCTTGCCTCAGCAGCTTCTGAAACACAAACCGCACTTTATATTCAACACAAGAAAAGTGGGATTATTATGATTAATGCGGTGCATGAATGTTTTTAAGCAAATGACAGAGAGCAGAGCTACTGGAACATTGTTGATTCAGAAAAATTACACATTCTTAAATTTGTGTGTGTACAGTAAATGGTCCAAAGTGATGTAGACATAGATAAATTGAATGTCTGTCAGCCCATATGGTCGTCCCCTTCAGAGCATGCTCAGACCGCCAACCTCAGCACGTTGTCTTATGGAGTCTGAAATTAAACATTACTAAAGTGCAGTGAGTGTCTGAATTTGCACACTATAGTTTGGGTTAAACTGCAAAACAAAAT